CCTTCTCTGTGGAATGCCCCCCCCCGATGTCAAGGTAAAGATAAAGAACTACGCAACTTTAGAAGATATCTGAAGGCAGCCCTGTATCAGGAAGTTTTAAATGCTTGACATTTTATTGTTTTTATATGTGCTGGAATCCGCCCAGAGTGGCTGGGGAAACCCAGCTAGATGGGTGGGGTATAAATAATGAAATTACTATGTTCAGTCACGTGGAATAGGGGTGCAATCTTGTCCTTTGCCCCTAGCAGCTGTATTTTGGACCAGCCCCAAAAGAAACCATTCCAGGCATCTTCTTTGTTGACTAAAGAGATTAATATGAATTAACTGAAAGGTTTTTCAAGAGGGAGCATACTGCAAACATGCACAGGCTCAACAGGTTGGGGTAAAGGTAGAAACAATCCACTAAGACTCCCCCCTGTCAATACCCCTATTGCCATTTGACAATGTCCATGTTTTGTACATTTGACAATGTCCATGTTTTGTGGAAGTGAGAGCTGGACCATAAAGAAGGCTGATCGCCGAAGAATTGATGCTTTTGAATTCTGGTGCTGGAGGAGACTCCTGAGAGTCCCATGGACTGCAAGAAGATCCAACCTCTCCATTCTGAAGGAAATCAGCCCTGAGTGCTGCTCACTGGAAGGACAGATCGTGAAGCTGAGGCTCCAATACTTTGGCCACCTCATGAGAAGAGAAGACTCTGGAGGGCACAAGAGGACGACAGAGGACGAGATGGTTGGACAGTGTTCTCGAAGCTACCAGCATGAGTTTGACCAAACTGCGGGAGGCAGTGGAAGACAGGAGTGCCTGGCGTGCTCTGGTCTGTGGGGTCACAAAGAGTCGGACACGACTAAACGACTACAATGTTTTGTACATCATATTTATATCCTGCTCGTCTGGCTGGGTTTCGCCAGCCACTCTTATTAGAGTTTGCGTAGCATATTGGTGGGTTTTCTTCATAGGTTGGATCTATCTGCTATCATACAAGGCCTCAGAGCAAGGCTAGGTCTGGGTAGCTACTTCTAGCTTATGACAAGCTGTGTGTATGAACCAATCTGAAGAGCCCAACCAGCATTACATCTGCATGCTTTTTCAGAGACTATTGTGGTTGTACAATGTGGACTTGTATATGCATGCATGTTGGCTGTGAAGAAATTTGCCTTTTCCAAATGGTGTGATTTTTCCAACTCCAGGTCTATCTTCAATGTAATTGTGTAAACTTGCACCAAACCCATTTGGCAGTTCACACACAGGCAGGTCTGTACACGCTATTCACACAGGTGTTTTCAGTTCACTGGCCTTAGGGCTGGCCATGCCATTAGGCAGATTGAGATGGCCACCTTTCATTGGGTGTAATGAAAGGACAGCAAATCATTATTTATTATGGGAAGGATAGGGCTTTTCTGTTTCGAGTGCCAAAACAACTTGACTGGGCTTGGATATGATGCACACTTTGATGTGACAAAAGTTGCTGCTCTGCCTCAGGCGACAAAATTTCCAGCTCCTATTGTGCCAACCTTAGGAGACCCTGCTGGGACTCCTCTCAACCATGCTAGCTTATGAAAACTAGGGATTTGAAAAACTAGATGTGTATTAACTATTTTATAGATTTAACATTTCCTGGAGATTTGAAGGCCTGGGAAAAAGTTCTCTCTCTCCATCCTACCCCATTCAGGAGAAACTAGGGATTTGACTGTCTCAAGACCCAACAGTAAACTAGAAAGGCTGGAGAACACAGAGCTGCAATGGCAAGCATGCAAGCCCTTATTTCAGCATAGGGAGGAGGGGGGGAAAAGAGCAAGGAATATCAACCCAACAGTTACACTGGCTAGGCTCCTTTGCTCCTGCTACACCATTCCTCCCCTCACTGCTTTTGACCTATGCAACTGAAGTGAATGAGAGACGGTTTAGAATATACAGGGCATATCTGCAGTTTCTTCTGAGCCGTGACTCACTCAAGAGCTGATGGCACAAGCTCTGAATGCCCTTTTCCACTTCTGCTTGTTGCAGTGAATCTTGAAGTGTGTTAACAAAAGGGCCCTGGGTCTGCAGTACGTTTTTGGTTCCTTCCTTTTCCATTGTATGAAACAAAGGGAATGAACACACACTCTGGGTTGGTGCCTCCGGCAATGGCGGAGTTCCTCTGATCGGGAGGAACTTGCCCCGTGGGAATTTGGGTCTGTACCGCCGCGGTGAAGGCGGAGACCCGTAAAAATCACAGGCGGGAGAAGCCTGTGAACGTGGGATTCGGCAAGCACCTTTTGCGCCTCCCCTACTCGCGGGGAAACCCGGTTTTGGGGATCTGGAGCGATGTGGGGTGAGCGGCGCGGTGCTTCGAATCGTCTGCTTCTTCCACGGAGCGAAGCCGCATAGCTGTTGCCGGAGAGCACTGACTTTTTCCTGTGGACAATTTGACTCCAAAGTAATTACCCGTGAGTAGAGCTGATACGGGAGAATCGGATTTTAAACGTTTAATTTGGCATCGAAACGGGGAGGTTCAAAACAGGAAGTCCGCCTTCCCTATTTGTAAATAGACTGAGGCAAGGAGTCTGCAAGCTGAAGTCTTGGAAAGCCCTTTGTAAAAGACTAAATTTCCATCGGCAAAGAGCATAAAATCCCCCTTGGAGGCAGGAGAAGAGGTGTGGAAGTCGTGGACTGAGTATGCCTGCAGGAGAGAGTGAAGAGAGTTAAAATACCGCCACTCTGACCCTGGAAACGGGCTGCTAGTAGGACTGACGTTTTGTAATGTTCATTGACAGCACTCAGAACGTTCCTTGACAGCTAGCAAAATAAGAGATATATATTGTTTCTACTGTCTCCGGTTGCTTCTAAAAAGGAGTAAAAAGTAACTGAAAACTGAAACTAACTTTGGATTGTATGAGTTGCGTTTAAAGGTGACATTGTTGACTATTATAAATAGAAACTGTTTCCCCCTAGTGGAAGTCTCTGAAATTGGTTACTTTATAAGAGCTGGGCTAGGGGAATTTCCAGCTGCAAGATAAAAATTGTGTGACTCTGGGATTGACCTTGAATCTCTTAAGTGTTATGGCAAATGGAAAGGAAAAAACAGACGAAATGTCGATAGAAGAGGCCTTAGTGGTCGCACTATTGAAAATAAATGACTCGTTGGAACAGCTTCACAAGAAAACAGATGTGATGAATGTGAAAGCGGACGCTGCAAATAATAAAATCGACTTAATTGTAGAAAGTTTAAATAATCTGGGACAAAAGGTAAACACCAACACAAAACCATCCAGAAATTGAGACAGGAATCTACTTTAATACGGCAAACTGTGGATGAAGTCAGGGAGAAAACCCTTGCTGCTGAATGTAAAGCAACACAATTGGAGTGTGAGAGAGCCCCATCCATTCAAAAGCAACTTGATGAACATAAGCTGACATTTGTTATGATGGAACTTAAAGAAAAACAGATGAATTTGAGGACCAGAGCCCCACCTGAACTGGGAAAGGAAAGTTTGACAGAGCTTCAGGAGGAGACAGGATTAACATTGGTTGAGAAAGAGAGGCTCTTGGGGGTCAATAGGACCGCCAAAAAATGTGAATTTATTTAAGGGTAACTGTGAAGGACATTGGATTGAAGAGAAGGGGGATTGGGAAATATGGACAAATCTGAAGTTGTTATTGTTGGGCCGAGCTGTTGTGGTGGGGATGAGGGTTGCCGTGTTGCTGGGGATGTTGCTTTTGTTTCAAACAGTGCAAGTTTTAGATGGGATGGATTGTTTCAGGAGGTGGCAGAGGGATGTTCCTGGACTTGTTTGGCAGGGCAGGAAGCCTCGAGTAAAATTTAAGATATTGACGGATGCCAAAGAAGGAGGTAGACCTGCCCTGCCAGACACCTAAACTTTGTTGTGAATCATCTGCTTTTTGCTGGCTGAGAGAATGGTTGTCTCTTAAAAGCACTGAAGTGATGGATAATGGCAGATGAAGTTGATGGAATTGGCGGAAAAGACTGGCAAGATCCGAGACCAGGGAGGAGAGTCGGCGGAAGAAGATTGGGAAAAGTTTAAAGACTATTTATAGAAATATTGTAAAATCAATGAATGTTTGAAGAATGTTGGAATGAAGTTACATGGCTTCAGTAGAAATGTTATAAGGAATTAAGTATAAATAGATTAATAGAGTATTAAAGGAAAATAAGGTTAAAATGTGTTAAGATAATTATAGGATAGAAAACAGGGGAAGATGGTAAGGAATTGCTGAAATAATTAATAGAAGTGGAATACAAAAAGGGATGTGTGAGGAGGCCGTGGAAATATGTGAAAGAAAGATAAGATATTGGAAGTTTTTTCTTTTTTCTCTTTTTTGATGTGTTTTTAAATTGTTCTTGTTTTGTTTTGTTAATTTTTATGTAGTGTTTTTGTATTGTAATGTACTGTTTTTTCTTTGTTTTTTTGTAAGTGTTTAAATTGTTGTAAAAGCAATAAATATTATTATAAAACACACACACACACACACTCTGCACAACTGTTGGTCCCCTGGGCAAGACAGCCTTCTCTGACAATCCATGCAGTCTGCTTGCTTCCTGTTAAAAGTCCTGCATATCTGCTGGCAGTTAAGACCCCAGAGAGGCCTCTTAAATCTTGTGCCCATCCAACCCAAGTAGACTCTGAAACAGGCACTCTTTAGGTACAGTTCCTTATTATCTAGACTTGCCTGCAAGCTGACCAGCTGTTGCAAAGCTGATCTATGCTCATCCCAGAAGATGCCCAGTTGAAATCTACTCTCTTGGAGCACTGGGTTTCACTCTTTCTAACAAGGGAACCACAGGAGGAACAGCCAGGCCCAGTTGGTCACTGCACTGTCAGGAATGGTTCAGAGGTATGTATCCTGGCCTGTCATTTTGAGCAACTGCTGTTCAAATTCAATTTCTTAAGGAGGACCCATCAGCATGGTAGGCTCAAGCTTCTTTGGGAAACATTTTTTTTCAAAGTTGCATTCTACCCTGCATGCATGCAATACTGATAAAATTGACACTGAGAAGATTTAACAAGTTATTCATTTAATAAGCATTTTACCACATTGTATTGTACACTGTCATCTGTTCAAAAAGATTAGGTTTTTTTAATTAAAAAAACACACACCACAGGATACTGTGTTATATTCATAGAAACAGGTGAACAGTGTTCACTGTTGTAGCTGGTTGTTTTTTAAACTTTGTGGAATAAGTCTTCAGCTGCAACAAACAAACCCTAAAAGGAATTCTAATTCTCAGGCAAGTCTCTGAACAGCTCTCCACACGTGACAGTTTTCTGAACTGGCTAAAATAGCACAGTAGCAAGCTTCGACATTGAATATAGGGGAAGTATCAAAAGGCTTTAATCCTGCATCCCAGCTGATCCCAGCATTACTCTCTGCTAGTTCCAGTCGTCTTTCCTGCAGAGGAAAAAACCTGACTTAGATACTGCCAATGAATCTCTATGAGCCACACATGACAGCTTTCTGAACTTTAATCCTGCATCCCAGCTGATCCCAGCATTACTCTCTGCTAGTTCCAGTCGTCCTTCCTGCAGAGGAAAAAACCTGACTTAGATACTGCCAATGAATCCCTATGAGCCACACATGACAGCTTTCTGAACTTTAATCCTGCATCCCAGCTGATCCCAGCATTACTCTCTGCTAGTTCCAGTCGTCCTTCCTGCAGAGGAAAAAACCTGACTTAGATACTGCCAATGAATCTCTATGAGCCGTGCCAACAAGTTTTCTCTATGCACTTTGGTTTCACAAAAAGAGACACAAACCTTTAAAATAATGGCTTTAATTGTCATTTTGAAGTATATGGGAGGGAAGTGTGCTTGAATTAAAATATACATCATACCAGGGAAGCTGGCAAAGGTTATGGGGTGGTTTCAAAATGCTGACAGCAACGTAACTAGTGTACATGACAAGAAAGAAAGCAATCCCTTTAAAACAATAAAATAAAAGACATTCACAGTGGTTCGTATAAACAATATGTAATTCGACAGTAATCAGTTTCGTAGTCTTGCAGCACACTAGTGCCTCTTAAGGTCCTAAAGGAAAAGCAGGCATCACACACCACCTGGTCTGTACAGGTTCAAGGAGTCAATTGTACAATTACCCGGAATGACAGTTGCTGTGAAGTATACAGCTGGAACAATAAGGGAAAAAAGCATTTTTTTCTCTCTTCAAATGAACATAAGAATTTTAAAAAACTCTTCTTGAGAAGGGAGAAAGTCTCATTTGCTGTTACAACCAGCAAACGCCATCCATCAAAATGAAAAAAACAAAAAACCCACAAACACATTAATCTAGTCTTAGCAAGCTGACAGATACAAGTTACCGTTTTTTAAAAATGATTATATACTATAGTACAAGTCCCAACTAGGCAGGGCCAAGAGTGATTATTTCTTTGCTTGTTTTGTGATCATACCCCTGGGTGGTGTTACAGGCCGGCTAGCATTGGGCTTCTTCTTCTCGGCAGGCTTCAAAATCTGGAATGACAACGTTCTTTCTTAGCAATGGAAGCACTGTATGCAGTTGAACAGAGATGAGAGCACAAGAAGGGGGCTACTGGTGTTATCCCAAAACCTGGCTATATATATTCTACACCCATAATTTTGTGATTTCCACCCAATGGGCATGGCTAGGTGGCTTAGAGCTGTAAAATCATTCATTCAGGGTCTTGGCACACACAAAACTAATTATTTTTCAGGGCAATAATTTTAAACAGCCTCACCTTACTGAAATATTGCAGTGTAGGAAAAGACGACTCCCTCCACTCCCAAAGGGAAGAGGGAATAGAAGGGTCTTCAGGAATGTCAATGCAGATTCTATTGCCAAAATAGCCTTGCTCCAAGAGGAAGACAACATTTCTTCACTTAAGAGAGTAGCTAAGCAGGGTGCCACCAGAATCTCAATGCAGGGGATGGGAAAGGCTCATTCAGTAACAGGTGCTCCTCTGGCCTAATCCATTTAGGGCTATAAAGGTAAACAGCAGCACCTTGGATATAAATGTCACCCTGCTTTCCCACCCACTGCTTGCAGTTTTCGATGCCTCCTCTCAGATCACCAGCATTAGGCAGCAGGGAAGAGCCATGACTCTTTGGACAATCCAATTCAAGGTGGAACAGATTACAGCTGTCCTACTTATTTTATGGCAAGCTGGTGCCTCAGCACAGATTAAAGGAAATGGAACGCATTTTCAAATAGCTAGTGCTTACGATTCTGGTTTAATTTAAGGAAGACCGGCTTAAAAGTGAAAAGAAGCAACATTATTGGGGGAAATGAGGCATCTAAACCCTAAAAATATACTGTACCTGGAAGGAACACATTAGAGTCTCATCCACGCTCATCATGGCACCCGCATTGTCAAACTCCCCACAGTAATTTGGGGCAGAAAACAGAGTTACCAGTTGCCTTTTGGCAAAGAACTCATATCCATCCTCAACCACCTTTAAAGCAAAGACAATTCAATTAATTGAAAGGGGGCGAATATCACACAACAGCAATAATTTTAATACTCCTAACCTTTTTCTAATCCTCCTCCCACGCCTTCTAGTGCAGCAGAATCACTTTGGTGTTGTGGCCAACCCAAGTCGTGATCTCAGAGGTCCCTGGTTCAAATCTCACCATAGTTGTGCCAGGTCATCACGACATGGTCTTAGCGTAAACCACTCCCAATCTCACCTGCTCCCCACCCCACTCTGTGATGATCTGTAACCACTTCACTGGCTTGCTGCAAAGATTACTCAGGTGAGATATATATGAATGAAGCTCTGAGCATTTATCTAAATCTTTTACCATGGGACACTGAATAACAGTGGCATAGTGGTCTATGCAGGAAGTTCTATGGCTGTGCCTATGAATCCAGGCCTCCAGGGCCCAGTCATTCTTCTAGCTACAAAACCACATTAACCTCACAAGCTGCTTGTTTCATGTCATTCTGCAATTTAGAGACAAGGCTAGATCAGCAAGGCCAGGAACTCGTAAAGCAAGCATCGTTCTGAGGCAAGTGAACTTGAAGGGGGAGGGGAAAAAGAGGAGAGACTGACCAGTTTCTTGCGTGGTGGACCAAGGGGTGTCCACTGGGGCCCAGGAGCTGGTGGCTCCTTCCCCAGGATCAACTCTTAGCATTTGGTCTTTACCTGATGAGCTCTGCATATAAGATCCAAATCATGTTTATGAAGGAACTTTGCAACCACTTCAGCTCCAAACGTGAAAGAAACTCCTCTGTCATTTTCTCCCCATCCCAGGACATCTTTGTCAGGGTCAGACCACAGCAGATCACAAAGGAGGCCTTGATCTGGCACATCAGTAGGCCGCATAATTCGTCGGATTTGTTCCATTGATTGGAGGTCTGGCGATAAGCCTGCAGGGGATTAAGATGCAGCTGCTTTGCATTTTGTTCACATGCTGGGCACTCGGCAAATGCACACACTGTGCGGTGACAGTATCCTCATTCCCACTGCAACCTCATCTATGCTTATTTTGAGGAAGCTATCCAGTGCAATCCAAAATTATTCCTCAGATATGTCCCATTTCTGGTACGAACTATCCTCTCATGCCAAGGACATGCTACTGCGAGGCAAGGAGACTGGTAGCAGTAGAGTTGATTAGGAACATAGGAATTTGTGATTGGTGTGGGGCCCCCATGGCGCCTTGCATGAATGGTGTGAAGGCTGTAGACATCACATGCTGCCTAGGTACTGTGCAAGAAGTGTCAGTGGTCGTGACACTTATGTGCATAAATGATGCTGGAAAGAAACGACCGTAGAGACAGAATAAAACATGTTCCACCTGCAGAGCCAGCTAGGTGGAAGCATCTGATTTGGTATGCCTCACAGATGATGGGACAAGTGGTTCAGGTTCTCAAAGCGAATTACAGGATATAACTTTGTAACTAGCACACAAATATATGTGAATGGCTGTACTTTGAAAAGACTAAAGAGTCACAGGAGGAAATGCCCATGAATAGGACACCTGTATAGGCATCCACACGTCTCAGACCCAAGACAGGGTAGCTGGAGTACTTGGTACTAAGAGATCACAGCTGTGCAAGAGTGGGGGTCTGTAGGGTAAGTTTATCCCTGAATATAAAAAATTGAAGGGAGGAGAAAGTGGCAGATCAAGGCTATTTAAAGAGGTCATAGTTGAGAAAATTTAACAGGAAGAGGAACAAACTCCTTTACAGAATCACCACGGTGAAAACAGGTACCCAAAGTAACATAGTACAGGCGTCTCCTCACTTAATGCATGTTCGACTCACGTGCGTGTGTGGTGCTGGGAAATAATTAAATAAATTGATTTAAACTGCAGAAAGGTGTGAAATGGGCAAAAACAGCTCAAAAAGAACGGGAAAATGGCTAGCAATTCCAGGAGCCTTTGCACCAATCTTTGATGCCTATAGAGAGTTGAAGTTTGAGAAAGGAGGTGTGGAGAGGGCAGTTGTAGTGGAATTTGGCTTTTTAGATGCGTGTTTCCAACTACACATGATTTCATGTATATGCATGGTACCCAGGAACATAGCCCTATATGTGGGAAGGTGCCGGTACTACAGAGATAGTGTTTTTTCTTACGCAAGCACCGAACCAAAACTCCTTCCATATATTTATTTAATAAAAATATTTCTATAATGTGGTATCATAAAATATATCAAGGTGGTGAAGAGTATGTATGTGAAAGAGTGAGTGAGAATATACATTTTGCACGCTTTCCTTTTTTTACCTAAAGAGGTAAAATGTCTTTAAAATATTCCCATGTAGGATCTTACAACTAGTTACCATGACAGTTTGTGAGACAAATGGATGCACTTTTCACTTCACGATTCACACAGTAGGCTCACCATGTGATCTTCATAAACTAGGATATTGTCATCTGCACAATAATTAACAATGCTCCCAAATTTCAGTAACATAAAATTTAGTTTTCTTTCTATATATAAAAAGTGCCTGGGACATATCTTATCTTATCTTATCTAATCTAATCTATCTATCTATCATCTATCTATCATCTATCTATCTATCTCAAGTAGTCTATTAATTTTTGTGATAGGGTACTTTTTGTTGCAATCAATGTTAATGTACTGGAGCAGGAAAAATGTCCCGTGGTTTTTCAAACAAGAACTGATCCAAGAAAATGGATTTCAGTGTCCCTTTTCCAACACCACACACAGCTTTGTCTGGGACATTTAAAGGTAAAGTTAAAGGATCTCTGACCCCTTATGAACGACTCTGGGGTTGTGGCGCTCATCTCGCTTTACTGGCCAAGGGAACCAACGTTTGTCCACATACAGGTTTCCTGGGTCATGTGGCCAGCATGACTAAGCTGCATCTGGCAAAACCAGAGCAGTGCACGGAAACGCAGTTTACCTTCCCACCAGAGCGGTACCTATTTATCTACTTGCACTTTGATGTGCTTTCAAACTGCTAGGTTGGCAGCAGCTGGGACTGAGCAACGGGAGCTCACCCAGTCGCGGGAATTTAACCACCGACCTTCCTATCGGCAAGCCCTAGGCTCAGTGGTTTAGACCACAGTGCCACCCGCTTTTTACCACCCCATTATACATTGGAATTTGGCTTGGAGGGGTTACACAGCGAAGGGTTGATTGGCACAAAAAATAAATTTCTTCAAGATGGAACTCAGTGCTAAAAAATCCATCTCTTTTTCAGTACTGCTGTAGGCTGTGAATGAAGGAGCAAGGAAGGCTACAGGATTAATCCTTCCCCCCACACCAGCCATCTCCAGAGCAAGCTGCCCATCACAGAGTCAGACAGTCACTATATCTAAGCTGCTCAAAAGTAGGACATTTTATTGCTTTAAAGCAGCTGCCTCAAATTAAAGAGGTATGACCTGTCCTTTCTGCAAGGTCATAATATTTGTCCTCACATCTGTTCAGCTGTGGCCTCCCAATTCAACGCCTAGTATTGCAACCCTGATGTTTATGCCTGTGTAAGCATACTGCAGTTGCTTATAGTTCAGGAGTGGCAAGGCTAAATATTTAAATCAAAAATGGGTCAGGAGATGCTAGGTTAGTATAACACAAGTATTTTTATAACATGGCACTGGGAACTGTCCAGATAACCTACAATTACCTACAAGTATGCAATTACCCACAAGCAGATAGCATGCATTTATAGCATCATATTTCAGTGTAAGAGTTCCGGCAGTTACAAAATTAGGCCTTTTCAGTAGAGGTCTACTTCTCATTCTGTCTCAGATTATCCATTAGCCCCATCGCTACAGTAACACGTAAGCTGGAGCACCCTATAGTCACCTCACTCTAATGGTGGGGTCACCAAATGCTGTATACAGGGTTGCTTCCCGTCACCAAATTTGTTGTTCTGGTGATTCATTGTCATGACTGCAGTTCAAATGGTATGGGGGAGGGAACTATATTCAGACTAACTCTGGTATATAGTAACTCCTTCCTATATCACACTCGGTCAAAGTAGTTTGCAGGTGTTCCCCTATGCAAACAAGGGTACGAATAGGCTGCTTGGACAAACATTATTCAATACCTTGTTACACCAAAAACCTGTTAAGAGATAGAAACATTATCTCAATTGACATTAGCTGTGAAACTTTGCAGTGTGCTCAACCTGTGCTTTAGATAGAATGAAATGCAGTGCCCTGCAATACAGAGAAAGTGGCTCCAGGCCTGCACAGAGCTTGCCTGAGGCCTGGGGCAGGAGTCTTGTTAGAACAACATTATAAACTCAAACAAAAAAAAAGGAAGTTGGTGCCTGGCAAGGCCCCCTGGCCAGCTTAATCCTCTAGGGCCCGGGGCAAGTGTACCCAGATGCCGCCCCACTGCACGGGTCTGAGTGGCTCCAATGCTGACTTACCCAAGATGGCCAAGCAAGTATCACTTTGTAAATCGTATATCAACTTACCTCCATGACAGCAGAATATTTTCTCATCCACAATGGCTGCAATTGGTAAACAATTAAAGCAGTCTGTAAAGGTTTTCCACAGCTTGATGTTGTATCTTCTTTTACCTAGGGAGATATTTCAGTACATGAACTCACTTGTATTTTAACAGTGGCAGAAGAAGAGAATAGGGAGGGCAAGGAGACCTACATTTACATTTTTGTATCTTTGCTTCACATTAAGGTCTTAGTCTGTGTTGGAAGAGGAACTGTTCTCCATACCTGCTAAAACCCAAACACAGGGGTATCTCAAACCCTTGAGGATCTTTTCCTCTTCTGTCATAATACCTGCTCTAGAAATAAACTGGCAAGAAGCTCAGGACAGACCACAGAAACGTACTACTTCACACAGCACATCATTAATGTATGGAGCTCATTCCACAAGCCACAGTGTGGTCACTGGCTTGAATGGCTTTAAATAAGCTTGTGACACAAATTCATGGCAGCTACCAACAGCTAAAACCCCTGATGTCAAATGTCACCTGTGTTCAGAGGTAGTGCACCCCTGAATACAAGCTTTGAGGGACAACAATGGGAAAGGTGCTTTCACATTCTACCTGTAGGATGGTGAGATTAGATGAATCTTTAGTCCAGTCAAGCAGGACTCTTACAGTCATCACCATCAACCCTTTTCACATACAGATGCTATTCTAATAACTGTTCTAGCGCTTAGAGACTCCCAAGGCAAAAATAAGCCATGAGCTTGCTAATGATCCCTCACTGCACCTTCACCACTGATAACTGACCCTTAGCCTTGACCCGGAATTTAGGCTCCCATATCCTAGATCTATTTGAACATTGCTCTTGTTTTACTGAAGCACATGCTGCCTAGGATGCTTTCAAATGGTGACAGCATCAAGTGCAAATCCTCTCATCACACTCACGACAGTTTCCCCAATTTGCTTCCAAGCAAGCCTAACCAACAAATTATGCTGAACCTATTACAAACCTGACTAAGTATGAAGTTCACTGAATGAAGGGGTGGGGAGTATGAGGAGAATCTAAGTGTGAATGCTGCAATTAGCCTACAAGATACAAAAATACACCTGAGCATCAGGAGAGTTAAGCCATTAAAAGGACAGGGAGTTCAAACCACCGAGACGGAACCAGCGAACTGCAGGCTATTCCATAATATAAAGCTGTAATGCGAAAGGGATCGTTTGGCTATGTTTTTAATCACATGTTCTGCTTTATTAACAATTCTTCCTGGGATTACAGATATCAGTGAGCAGGCAGTCCCAGACAAATCAGAACAAAGGAAGCTGCCTTATACCAAGTTAGACCCTTGGGTACACCTAATTCAGTATTATCTACACTGACTGGCAGCAGCAGTTTCAGACAGGATTCCTCTTTCCCATCCCTACTCAGAGATGCTGGGGAATAAAACCTGGGGACCTTCTGTATGCAAAGCAGGTGCTCAATTGTTTTGTATCCATTAAAGAAGTCGTTAAACAGAGAAATATGGACATGCTTTGCAAGGCTTATGGCAAATGCCATCATTAGCATCATTTGGTACTATAAAATCACTGGGGAGAATAATGGTGCAATGTTAATCTGAAGCTGCTGAAAAAGTGGATCTCCTCCCACCTCAATTAATATGAACCACAATGTAGTAGGTTTGCTGTAGGCAGTTACTGAAGTATTACGCTTTTACTGTTCTTTGTAAACCACTTTTAGTACAGATGTATCTGTGAAAAATGCAGTGTTTATTGATATAAATTATGTGATTCAACACATTTTAAAACCAGTGGGCTCAATGGCACACTGGTTACTAAAGACAAGCAAGTGACAGAGGCTATAGGAAAAGCAGACTATCTGATTCATAAAGTCCTGAAACCAAGTACGTATATTTTTCAAACCCTAGGTTTATATCACCAAATGGAACAGCCAGAAACTGAATTTATAGTCAATTCCAGAAAGTGCAACAAAAGGAAACAGAGATTACACATTGTGTCATGGCATGGAGCATCCCTATTGTACTTAACCACCATGCAGAGAGGAAGAAAAAGGCATGCAATTCAATCAGGCTTGCTTTTAACCAACCAATCAATCGATTATTAAAGGACCAGAAGAGCAGTAACAAGGTATGTCCTATCTTCAAGCAAGGCTGATAATGAACTGCCCTCCAAGGAAGGGGAGGAACTCACACCCAGTCCAGCAACTGGAGTAAGACAACACCACCCAGTGCCCAGTCAAGGAGGAATGGGTTCAACTTTGTACTTGCAAACTCAAACTGAAAAAGTTAACATTATAAATATGAGCTTAATTTAACAGTTAAGTGGAGGCTGGCAGAGCAGTGAAGACCGGACTGTAGTTGCACCTTTCTCTTCTGAAGAGAGCAAAGGAAGAACAAGAAGGCTATATTTCACCTGCCAAAATGACAGAAAAGTCTCTTAACTAGGTAAGTCAGTATTGTCATTAATAAGCAACTCACTCCAAACCCAGAGGTTATTTTATAGTAAAAATAGTGCCATTTACACTATGAATCACTTTCCAAAGTCTCAAAAGACTGCACCAGAAGTACTTACATTCATCGTAGAAGCCATAAATTCTATTAATGCTGGCACATTCATGGTTCCCTCTAAGGAGGAAAAAATTCTCTGGGTATTTTATCTTGTAGGCCAGTAAAAGACAAATTGTTTCTAAAGATTGTTTCCCTCTATCAACATAGTCACCAAGAAATAGATAGTTGCTTTCTGGTGGGAAACCTCCATATTCAAAGAGTCGAAGTAAATCATAGTATTGTCCATGGATGTCACCTTAAAACAAAACAAAATGGTGTTGATATGGTTTGAGAGTTTGGCTCATTAAAGCAAATGCATGCTAATATACTCACTTTAAAGAATAAGAATTGTTACACAACATTAAGAACAGTAAGCACATGTAACAGTAAGTTTCCTCCAATTAGCAATTCCTATTCCATTCATTGGTGTTTTTGCAAAGAGATGTTCAATGGACTGTGCCATTGTTTTCTCCAAAGTACAAACTTTCAGACTATTATTTGTGATCTGTGAGGTTAGAAGCACAACAAAGCCAGTCCTAAAAATTGAAGCTGGCTTGAAAATTTTATGTTCTTAATTCTGGCTAAGCAAGTCCAGTTTAATATTAAATCTTTTGCATTAAGCAGTATCTAACACAACTTGGGACGCGGGTGGCACTGTGGGTAAAAGCCTCAGCGCCTAAGGCTTGCCCATCGAAAGGTCGGCGGTTCGAATCCCCACGGCGGGGTGCGCTCCCGCTGCTCGGTCCCAGTGCCTGCCAACCTAGCAGTTCGAAAGCACCCCTGGGTGCAAGTAGATAAATAGGGACCGCTTACCAGCGGGAAGGTAAACGGCGTTCCGTGTGCTGCGCTGGCTCGCCAGATGCAGCTTTGTTACGCTGGCCACGTGACCCGGAAGTGTCTCCGGACAGCGCTGGCCCCTGGCCTCTTGAGTGAGATGGGCGCACAACCCCAGAGTCTGTCAAGACTGGCCCGTACGGGCAGGCGTACCTTTACCTTTTTAACACAACTTACTTTGACTTCTTGTGAAAAGCAAGGCCTTCTGCTCCAACTTACAGAATCACGCAATGATGAAGAAAAATGGGCCACCACTTTTTAGTATAGTATGGATATTACTAACACTGATACAGACGACCAACTGATATGCATCACAGCAATGAGGAAGTGGTTGAAAAAGAGGGTGTAAAAGGGCAGTGGAATAATGTGGTGAAGCGGGCTTATGCATGCTCCACCAATGCGCACAGGGGTCAGGAACATAAACCCCAGGCAAACTGGTCGTTGCCTGTATCCATAACCTAAAATCAGATCTCCACTGGGTTGAAGGATAAAGCTTCCTCTTTCTGGGATTTGTGTCCTCTTTATTCTGTCTACTTGAAGAAGTTTCCCTTCAGAATTCTATTCAAATCAATTCTACTTTTGCCCTCAAGTAGCATGATTTGCATAGGATGACTAGAGTACTTTGACAGCAATATTTTAACGGACTTGCAATCTTCAGAGATGGTGAAAATACCACCTAAGAAGTTGTGCCACATCATCATCATCAGTTCATTAAAAAAAAGGATAGTTGGAACCAACAAATCTCAATGCTTACCACATATTTTAAGCGGTGCTTCAAGTTCTAACAGAATGGGTTGACTGAGAAAGATTTCTCGAGATTTCAAGCATAATCCTCTTATTTCGTTCTCTTGAAGTTGCACATTTTTACCGGGTTTTGACCCTCTTACTGTGAAAGGAAAAAAAAGGATGGTCATGTTTAGCAAATGAGATCTACTGAGTTTCAAATCAATCATCATTAAACACATAAAACAGATTATTTACAATAAATGGAAATGACCAATTTTGGGTCTTGAAATATCTTCTGAACTCTTACAGAGAAGGCTCATGATTACCAAGCAGATTTTGATTCAAGCTGAGGGAAGTTTGCCCACTGCTGGAATTAAAAGGCAAATAATGAAAACACTGCCTATTAAAATATGTGTTGTTCCTAAATTCTAGTGGTCCAGGAAACAAATGCTTCATATATAGGCTGCACCAATGTATTTTATGCTGGTGAAATATTTAGGATACAGATACAAGAATTATAATTTGAGGACAACCATATGAAACAGATTCTACACCAGTGGTATTTATTTTCCCAGGAAGCACAACTGATCTAGTGCAACACTGCTTATTCCAATTCCATCCTCTCCCAAACATGTATATTATTCAAAACAGTCACATGGATTAATCATGGATTTAAGGCACTGCTCCTTCTGATGAGCTGACAAGATTACACAGCTAATTTTTTTTTTCCAAAGAGGAGAATATGTTTTAAATAGCAGTAGCCATTTATGGTCCTATTTCAGTTTAACCTGCAACAGTGTTAGAAACTCAAGATATATAAGCTAATCGCCCAATGGCACCTTAAATCTAGGTTATGGTCACCACAAAGGAATGTCTGGGTGCCCTTTTTTGAGATGACATTTATTATTGTTATTACTCATTTCATTTCTCTACTGCTTTATAATTGAAAAAGCAAGTTGTTTACAATGCATTAAAACATCAAATAAAACTATCTAGAATACAACAAATTCAAGCTTCAAGGAGAGTATTTCAGATCCTTCCCCAAGTGATATTCTGCTTTCCCCATTTTTATTTACCTACTTAATTTATATAGCTGCCCCACAGAAGTACTCTTTAGGAAGTCAGTGTGGTGTTGTGGTTAGAGTGTCTGACTAGGACCTGGGAGATCAGGATTCAAATCCCTACTCAGTCAGGAAGATTACTAGATGCCCTTGGGCCAGTCACAGCCTCTTAACCTACCTCACAAGGTTGTTGTAGGGACTGACTGAGAAGGGGGAGAACCGTGTACTCCTTGGAGGAAAAGGTAGGCTATAAATTGAACAAGCTCTTCTGCTTACCTGCTTAAGCAAGCTGGAGGGGCCAGCCAGATGGAGATATCTGTTGCCAAACAGGCATCTAAAGATCTCCATGTGGTTACAATTGGACCTGCACCAGTTGCAAAACACGCCTGGGGAATTTCAGGCACTGCCTGCATACAACTTCCAAGTTACTGTCAGTTGACAAAGCAAAGGATTCCAAGTTATCACCAATAGTTAAATAAATAGAAAAAGAGCAGGAGACTCTTGCTTACTGGGCTCTGGAGGTTCTTGCAAGCCTGTCTTGAGATTTCACAGGATCTCCGATTGCCCTGCAAAAGTTTGCCTTTGCATGCAACCCCCAGGAACAAAACCCCCATCTAAGCTGCAGTCCCAACTATTCTTAATTACATGGAAGGGAAGAGGTGCAAAAGTTGAATATCTTAATTCAAAACCAAGAGGAATGTGAAAACTGCAAGGGTTCCAAGCTAAGCCAGAGTATGATATTCACCAAACCCACTAAGAGTTACTTCAAATCAATTAAACCTGATGGCAAGAGTGTTCCTCTCACACCAGTCAGACATGCTACCTCGTGTTTGAGCAACTAACTAAGCCTTCCTAGAGCCTTCCCCAATTGATGCATGTGTTGTTTTCAGTGCAACATATTCTATTGACCTATTTCAATCTAGACACCACCTGTGCACTGATGTTATACAGGAAGCAGAACAAGCAGTTTAAAATACTTGCACCGAAGCTTTGAAAAGCTCAAAGGCTGTAGTTTAAGATGATTTACTTTGAAGTTTAGTATCAGAAAGGAGTTGCAATTACCAGCAGAATAATTGCAGGGCAATGGTTGTGACATGAGCAAATACATGTTTCATTTTTTCTTCCTCATCAGTTGTTAGCATTCATTGATGACATTATCAGTACTACTATATACTGAGGGTGCAATTAAAATATTTAACACAAGTAATAAGGCATAAACCTATTAATATATTTCCCCATCTCTGCAGTGTGATTATGCATGAAGCTATTGAGCAATAGAGCAATTGCCCCAAGTTCTCCTTCCAAACTTTAAGCAGCCTCAAATGCAAAGTGTCCATCAGCAACAGAGTTTATAAAAATGACCCACTGATAATTACATTATATGCTTTTAAACAGTTAAGGGTGTTACCGTGTTAAAAAAGCTTCTGTAGACAGAAAACAGATCAAGCATTTTAGAAATGAAATGCTTGTAGTAATGCTCTTAAAGAGGGAACCAAAGGCCTGTAGGCAGAACTATTCAGCAGCATCTGTGAAACAGAAGCTTCTGCCACTGCCTTAGCTTATATTCTCATCACCCCCACAAGCAGAGAAGTTTGGCCAGACAGGGATGAAAAGGAATGTATCCTAGAATAGCAATCTGCATTTGATGCCATTCGGAATTCTAGTCATTTCCTATAAATGACTATAAACTCTCCCTTACTAGATGTCTTCAAGGAGAAGCTGGAAAATATAGCCTACAAGCCAGGTTCCAACTTGCTACTTAAATCACCCAATAAATAAGAAGTATGACCAAGATCTCTGAAAGTGGTATGACTTAAAATGAGAAGAGATTACCTCTAGAAAGCATGCAGAATTTGCACATGTTGCAAAGATAGCATAAATTTTTCAAGCACTGAAATTTCAGACATTTTTGTTGTTTTCAGGAACTACTGAAAGCAACTATTGCCAGCTCAATGTCTGAAACCAGAATCTGAATGTCATACCAGTTTCAGACAACATACTACAATATCGCCCAGCTCTAGCCGGTATTTACAGCTAATCTACTATCTATTTCGCAATGTGTTTTGTCTGTTCAGAATTCTCAAATGCTTTAAAAAATGCTTCTCAATTAATCATATTTTAAGTCAATTATATCTTGTTAATTAATTTAACCAATTAAAGTTGCTGTAACATTGAAGCCTTTGCTACTTTCATATTTGACATTTACACACACTTGTTGAAAATTTCAAGTTAGAACTAGATCTGAAAAAATAGATCTAGGTGTAGTTTGTCAGTAGTTTATGAACCTCTTCTAAACAGATTCCTTCAATATTAACAAATTAAGGGATTTGTTCTTGGTCCAACCAAGGAGCAACACTGTTCTGCCAAACTTTGCTTTGTGTAAATAAATTCCCACTCCCTGAATATCCTGTATCCAGAGATTTAAAGTGTCATCCTAAATCTGATCTGTAAGAACAAAATAGCTGGGGCTCAACTATTTGCAAGGGATCATTGAACAGTATACCTCATAAGAAGCTGCTGTAGGAAGTCTGCTGTAGCTTAGTGAACCATCATTTAGAAATTAGTGGTTTTCCCCTGTGAATACCCTGATAGTTGTATTGTTCCTTTGTATGAACATCAAACCACCATAATCTCCATAGTCTGAAGGGGGGGAAACATTTTCAGAAATGGAGTTGTTTACTTAATGGCAGAAGGGACGCAGACCTCCCAAGGCAGGGAATCCCACAAAAAAGATGCTGTGAGGGAAGTCATGCTGATCTAACCTCTAAATGAGGGGTTACAGAGTTAGGCTACTTGCAGAGAGAGAGGAGACACCCTATTCATGAGCTCAGTTGATACCTTAATGTCATCTCCCACAGCTATCACTAGTGGCTATTATGTAATCATTATATAACATTGTACAAGAGTTGATACCCGAATTCACTCCTTCACAACTTTTTGCTTTCTATAGTGTTCTAAACTAACTTTACTATTCTAAAATAAGCCTTCATGTTGTAAACCAGCTTAACTACAACAATGTTCACTGTGTGCATCAAGGGTTTGGACAGTGCAGTCTTGGACAGCCTTGTCAATCCACCCCTTTCCCTGATAAAAGCAAACTGATTTAGTCACTTTCTGTGATTTTTGTAGAAACCATTTTGAGCTTTAAGGAAATTCTCCATGAAGCAAACAAGAGATATATATAGGAAATATTTGCATGCTTAATATCTTCCTTCAGATCTCATGAAGACAAAAATAAAAAATCAGTAGCCCCACCTCGCATACTAGAGTCAGCCATTTGTGTGACCCAATAGAAAATAAGACTTGACAGAACTTCATCGATAAATTTCGATTAGCTAATTATAGTTAGAACAAACCGTAGGCCCTTGAGTTAGGACATAACAGGGAACTACAGATCATTTTAAAATGATTGCAGAAGTTACTGATAATCTCTCCTCTAGGGCTGGGCAATATATTGTCCAAAACTGCTTTGAAGTCTGTATCATCCATACCATTTCATAATTTTTGACCTGGCAATATATCGCAAATCATTATATGTGTGCTATGCAAAAATCACAATATGATTTTTCATGGGGGGAAACTGTGAAGCCAGCCAATGCTTCTCTCAATTCCTGCAGCCCCTGTCAATTCTGCAGGCTCAGCTCACCCCTGCCTCATGTGGAGGGCAGCAAATTACAAGAGCAGGCGCTGGCAAAAATCACAATGCAGGGAAAACCATGAAGCCAGCCTTATTTCAGGCAGTGTTATCAGTATATCATGTTGTTTAGTTGGCGATATATCACTTTATTGAAAACTAGATATTGCCCAGCCCTACTCTCCTCATGCATGATGGGCATGGGAACATATACAAGCCAAATTGTCATCTTGCAGGGTCATTCTCATAATGGGAAACTATAGTTTCTAGTTATATAAGAACCAGGCCATTACGTTTTATTTGTAGACAGGACCAGAACAATATTTTGATCTTTGATAATAAATGAAAAAGCTAGCCAGCATTTGCATTGGTGTTAATAGGCATTTACAAGACTTTCCAGTCATACAGAAAAGTGGTTAGCACTGCTTGCTAACAGATCCCCAACTACCTATGAATACTGAAGTA